CGGCAAGGACTTTGGGAGAAGTCCAGGGTAACGACATTGTGTGTGTCTCATGCTCTTTCCATGATAGCGCTGCCAACACAACTTTAAAGTGTTCGCGGTGCAGGAAGATGCAGCCAACAACTTTGCTCGTGGACATTATACGATCGGGAAAGAGATCGTTGATCTGGTCCTTGACCGAATCAGAAAGCTTGCGGACAACTGTGCTTCAGCTACTTAAAACAGATTTTCGCTTTGCTGATCCCGCACAACAAAACCGTTCCCACACCATGTATGTCGGAAGAGATGAACGCATTGTTGGCAGGCACCGGTCTTCAAGGCTTCTGTGTCTACAACGCTTGCGGAGGAGGCACAGGATCCGGCTTGGGTTGCCTCATGCTCGAGCGTCTGTCGGTGGACTATGGGAAGAAGAGCAAGATCTCCTTCACCGTGTGGTGTTGCCCGCAAGTCGCCACGGCTGTTGTAGAGCCCTATAACACTGTCCTGTGTGTGCACTCACTACTCGAGCACACAGATGTCACCATTATGCAGCTTGGATTGGAGTAGCCAGTGCGATTACGGCAACACGCCGCAAATCCATAAGTATTGGTGCAGAATCTCAAAGCCGAGGTACGACAACGAGGCATTGTACGACATTTGCCGCCGGAATCCTTGGTCTTCGTTTGGAACACTTTGCCATCTAACTGGTGTTTGTTACGACAGAGACTGTTGAACTGCGGGTTTGCCAAGAAATCATCTTCTGAAGCCAGTCCCAGGAACTTGGACATCGAACGCCCCACGTACACCAACCTCAACCGCCTCATTGCCCAGATCATCTCCAGCCTAACGGCATCTTTGCGGTTTGATGGAGCTTTGAACGTGGACATCACTGAGTTCCAGACGAATCTGGTGCCGTACCCCCGCATCCACTTCATGCTGACCTCGTATGCACCGGTCATCTCTGCTGAGAAGGCCTACCACGAGCAACTGTCGGTGGCTGAGATCACCATGTCTGTCTTCGAGCCGGCCTCCATGATGGTCAAGTGTGATCCACGCCACTTGGCAGAACGGTAGTACAGTTGCACGGCTGTTCGTCATTTTCGGTTTTATGTTGCCTGCCTTGACTGATACGTTAGCTACACGTTAGCTTTCGCAACGCAGCAGAGTGCTGCTAAGGCCACGGCAAATACATGGCCTGCTGCATGATGTACCGTGCGGCTCTTAGCAGAGTGCGGTAAACCCGGCCAAAGACGCTTGAAGCAGAGCTTTTGATTTTTTTCGGTTTTTCAGAAGTGAGGCGGAGATGTGGTGCCGAAGGATGTCAACGCCGCCGTGGCTACCATCAAGACCAAGCGCACCATTCAGTTTGTCGACTGGTGCCCTACCGGCTTCAAATGCGGCATCAACTACCAGCCGCCTACCGTGGTGCCGGGTGGTGATCTGGCGAAAGTGATGCGTGCCTGCTGCATGTTCCTTGCCTAATCTTCATAAGGCAGCTAGTTGTCGCCGGAATTTCTGGACATCCTATACTCTACAAAGCACTGCTCCGTAACCTTTACTTCAGCAGCTGGACGGTTCTTCCCAAGTTAGGATCTCCAACAGCACCGCCATTGCCGAAGTCTTCTCCCGGATCGACCACAAGTTCGACTTGATGTACTCCAAGCGTGCCTTCGTCCACCACTACGTCGGAGACCAGACTGCTTTCAGAAGGCATTTTCCACTGTTCCGCACAAGACTAAAGCACAACGTAGTATTTCGTGGTGTGGTGTATTGTCGTATACTATAGATACTATAGGGTACACTAGTACGTGCTAATATAATCAGTAGATTTAGTCTATGATAGCACTGCTTCGAATGTGCTACAGCACATCATAGACCGACCGATGTTAGATCTCCTGGTAATCGCCAGCGACACAAGCCCAGGAGCTCGAAGACCCTCTAAGGCCCTAATCCCCACAACCAGAAGCCCTAAACCCTTAACCCGAAACCCTATTTCTAATCCCCATACCCAGACCAACCAGGCAGACCTCTTCACATCTTCAAGAACCCCAAACCCTCTGAAAGCCCAAACCCTAAGCGGAGCCTTGTAAATCTTTCCAGAGGCCGTAAGAAGCCTCTATATGAGCTCTGAAGCCAAGCCCTAAGAGCGCTGGAAAGCCCAAATAGACCCTACACCGCAAGCCCCTGAACCCGAAGAGACCAGGACAAAACCCTCTGAATCGCAGCTCGTCTAGTCGTATAGTAAAGCCGTCTAGTATGCTTTATAGCAGCTCTTAGAATAACCAAGCCGTATAGTAGCTCTTATAGAATCCCTCATAAATAGCACCCTTATGGTAGCTCGTCTCGAAAAACCAATTAAGCCTTATAGAACCAATACAGCCTTACAGAGCCAATAAAGCCTTATAGAACCAATAAAGCCTTATAGAACCAAATAGAACCTTAAACCCTAAACCCTAAACCTTAAAAAACCATTAAAGGCGTAAAAGAACCAAAGACGAAGAGCCGAGGAGAGGGACGGAGGCGCGGGAGGACCTGGCGGCCCTGGAGAAGGCGAAGGGTTTTTTTCGCTTGGGTTTTCTGGGTTTTTTGGAGCTCTTGAGCTGGAAGTAAAATTTAAATCAAGAGTTTGGGGTTTAGGGTTCCGGTTTCCGACTTTTTCCGGGTTTTCCCATGGTTTTTTCGGGTTTTAGACGGTCTTTTCGGGTTTTGCGGGGCCTGTAGAGGTTTGCAGGTTTGGCAGTCGGGGTTCCATAGGGGTTTAACGGTTTCGTTGAGTCTTGTATGGAGATGTTGGGTTTGAAGTTGTGTTTATGGCATAGGACTGAGGGTGCTCTTCGCATCATGGCTCTTCTACGCTTGCGATGGGGGCTATGGCAGAAGATATCCCAAGACCCTATTCTAACTATGAAGGCCCCACGGCAAGGCTAAAACTTGGGTTCTTGAACTTTCAGGCGGTTTTCGGGCGAGGAGTGGGTCAGGGTGTAGAAGGAGCATTTATGTGATGTCCTTGTCACTGGTGCTGCTATATAGTCATCTTCAATTTCCATCTTGTTCATCTGGAACTTGCTTCATTGAACCTTTATGTTGATTGAGCTGCAAGAGATGAGATGCAGGACTACGAGGAGGTTGGCATCGAAACTGCAGAAGGCACGTTTTTTCGAGGATTTAGGGCAAAAGGGTTGAGTTGAGAGAGAGGATGCGAGGGCATGCTATGGGCCATGGAACAAACCATGGTTCGGGGTGTCTTCTAGGCCATTCTTGAAAACACGTTTCGATTGTGGTGTCGCATCTTCGCGAAGAGGAACAAAGAAGCGAGACCTTGTAAAGAGATTTCAACACTAGCCATTTGGGTAGTTCTCTAAATTGGGACCCAGGAAGGGGGTCTTAATCATAGAGAACTACCCCTTGAATCATATGGAAGCAATAATAATTGCCAACATTATTCCTTAGGGTTCCTTGCTATAACTATACTATACAGGAGCCCAAAACCCTATTCTACTTAGTAAGGCCCCTACATCAGCCCCGCTTCGAGTTGGGGCCAAGCAGTCAAAGCCTACACCCTGAACACCCCTAGACCCCTAAACCCCAAAGGGCGGCTGGGTGTCTTTTTTTGGTAATTTCGGAGTTTGGGGTTTAGGGTTGTAGCGGAGTCATTCTCTCGTCTCAGGGTTTTGAACCCTGAGCCCTAAACCCGCAACCCTAAACCCCAAGCCCTAAACCCTGAACTCTAAGCCCTAAACCCTAAACCCCCGACCAGCAGAGTATGTCTACTCGCGTTGCAACTCCTTTGCTTCGGAGCCGGTCTTCCAGACGAAGCCACTTTTCAAAAAGAGAGGGTTTACGGGTTTAGGGTTTTAGGGCTTTAGGATTTAGGGTATTAGGGTTTAGGGTTTTAGGCTTTTAGGCTTTTTGGTTTTCAGGGCTTTAGGGTTTAGGGTGTTAGGGTTTTCTGTCGGGCTCAGGCGCCAGGGTATGCGGGTATCATGACGGTTCATGCTACTTCATATCATGTTGCAGCATGCCAATACAGTGTCCCCTTTCTTTTGCGTTGGTATCGTGAACTCCTATGAGTGCAGTGTAAACATGTCGGAACTCCTAGTCTGATACGGTACGAACACCACACGATGGGGAAAAAGCGGTTTAGCTTAGGCTTTCAGAGTTCCTGCCATCTCAAAATCGTCAGCCCAACCCGCGCGTCTCGAAGAGGTTCGGCAGAGCTCGAACTTCAACTGCCCATCATGTGTAGGGTACACTGTAACACTCGCAAAACCTCAGCCCATAACCATATCATGCGTGCTGTCAGTTTCCCAAATTTAACGCACGACATGGTGTGGGTAGCCTTGGCGAGCGAGAGTTGCTTGTAGAGTCTTCAAAGGGGTCCTGGCTGTGGCTTCGAGGAAATATGGGTCAGCAGGCGGCTGCCAAACCGCACAGCCACGCAACTGCGTGCAGGCGAGGGAGAAGAGGAAGGCTACGGCGATGAGTTCTGAGATCGTCTTTGCCAGTGATGCACGAGAGGGCAGCCTGCAAAACATCACATTTCCAGTTCGACCGAAGTTAGTGGACGAAGCAGGACTGCGGCTGCACCTCGTGCAATGCATGGGTGCCTCGCGTGACAGTGACGGGTGAAACGATCCCTGTTGCCGCACGCGTTGCTTGCGAGGACTTCGCCGACCCGGTTCGGCATGACCCGAATCTGCGGAGCTTCGAGCGAAAATTGACAGTTGCCTGCAAGCAACATTCTCAGTGTCTTGACAGGTCTTCCAGAGGCTAGCTTTGACATCGCAAGAAACAGAACAAAACTATTTGTATTATTATTACCATTTGTACTAGTACTAGTACTAGAACTAGTACCAGTATTGGTACTACTACTACTACTACTACTACTACTACTACTACTACTACTACGACTACGACTACGACTACGACTACGACTACGACTACGACTACGACTACGACTACGCCTACACCTACGCTTACGCCTACGCCTACGCCTACG